CCCCCCCCCACACACGATTCCTATCTCCCTTTCGGTCTCTCTAACAATTTCCGTTTCATTTCCTTGACAGGATTGCTTTTCTACACTGCGAATTTGAATCACACATTTAAGCGACAATTCATTTAAATAAAGATTTGAATTTAAACATCTTATGTTACCAGACTGTGCGAGAGACTCACTTGCAGTGGTATGTTATTTGAACTGATTGCCTTCACTTTAGTGAAAGGTGAAAGATATCAGTACCTTACAAAAAATGGAGTTGTAAAAAGCTTGCCTCCTCCAGTGGGTTTAAATTTAGACCCACCAGCTTTCATATTATAAGTTAACCAGCTTGTCTAGTTCATAATCACCCTCGTGTTTGTACAGTTTTGAATTAGAGAAGGCCGGCCTCCAATTATAAACAAACCATGCCATGCCGCCATGCCTTGTTTTACAAGATCCAAGGCACCTTTTTTTTCCCCCTTCATGATTAACACAGTGAAAGGGCTTAATTTTATTACTTTGTTTGACCAAACCAATCATCAAACAAAAGCAAACAAAACAATTTAGGTAACCAACTTCTTTAACATATGCAGTAGGGTTTTGTTCTAGCATTGGATGCTGTGATAGCAGAGGTGAAATTTGTGTTTTGCTCATTTGAAAAAGATTTAAAAACTTAAACCTCGTGTTTTATCTAATTAGCTGTATGTTTGCAAGGGGCTTGTAACTCAAGTAGTTCATTTATTATTCTTGTACCGAGGTCTTATGTTTGAATCCTCCCTCTCTCTATATCGCTTGTTTTAAAATTAACAACACGAGTAACACCATATGGATCGACAACTTTATTCATACAAAAATAAAGCCTAAATTGAGATGTAGAGGAGGTCATAACATAAACCAGACACTTGATAGAGGGGAGACCTTGGTGCTTTAATTTGATTCTTTTTAGGGGAAAGCCTTAATATGCTCTCTGAAGTGCAGTTGAGTGTACCCAGCAGCAACCAACCAAACCAATCAAGGAACATGGAATTAGAGGGGTTCTCCGCACATGGTGGGTTCAAACACCTTCTTGAAGAAAATATTATAAAAAAGATACAAAGGAAATATAGTATGGAAAAAAAACCTTTGGCAGACGAGTTCCAAGCCACCAAAAAAAAGAAAAAGAAAAAGGAGAGACAGTGACGTTCCTACAGTTTATATTTGATTTATTAGAGATGAAGCCTTTCTTTCCGGCCGTCAATCACGTTCTGATGGGTCCAACTTGGGCCGGATCAGCTCCAGCATTTGTTTATATTTCTTTTCCCCTTGATGACACTTAAGAATTATGATTAACGACATCCAATCTTTGCTTCAAACACACAACATACTAATGCTTTGCTTATTACAATCATTAAAAAAAAAAATCAAATACATGAAGAAAAATCTTAGTAGTCTAATTTAAAGTGTGTTTCTCTAATCCTATAATCCACGGAGACTCGAAAACAACAAATATTAAATAATATCACGAGTGATGAGCCAAAATGAGCATGATATTGGTTTGATTTGTGTTTAAAAAAAAGAAAAAAAAGAGAAGTAGATAATGGAGGGAGGTTCACACTTCATATTCATTCACGTTGATGCCGTCTGTGATGCATTTGTTCAGTTCACCATTATTAGTGGCGTGCTACTTGCTAATCATGGTGCTTGATATGCCTTAATCCTCAATAATATAATTTAGCGTTAATGATGAATATACAAGAATTTATGTATTTAAGTTTGTAACTGAAGGGCCGCACCATTTCTTGCCAAGTTCAAGTAGTAGTTTGGAGTATTTACTTACTTAGGCAAGGTCCTCGGTTCGCTTCTTAGCATTTGTGTAGTGTGTGTGTTTAGTATACTATTACCCCTCTTAATAGGAAATGTCTTAACAAAAGAAAAGTTTGTAACTGAAGGATTGTTATATTTATTTGATGCAAAAGAAAAGCTCTTACGTTTCCAGGTTAAATCATATCTGTACTGTTTGACACAGAAGTAAACCGTATGGGACCATAGGTGTTAACCCAGCACATAATCCAGCAACTCAAAGCAGGAGAGAGAAAGAGGGCTTGTGGAGCACATTCGCCTTAGTAAAGCTCGCTAAGGCCATGCCTACGAGATGTGATATATGATTGGGCATGAATCATGATTAGGTGAGTTGTTATAAACATCAAATTAGAGATGGGTTGCTGTATGTGTCGTCCCAATGAGCGTTTCTTTTTGGGTTTGTTTTGATATTATTGGGCCTATCTTTAACCACCCCGAAAAATAAAAGAAGAAGAAGAATTGTAATGTCTTCATTTTATATAGATAGAAATAAGATTGAGAAACAAAACTTGTTCTCCCTTCTTGTTCAATCTTTAACTTGAAAAAATGAGGAAGAGAACAGGTAAAATGGGTACCACAGACTATATAATTTTCAATTATGTACCCTACAAGAATGCAGTCAAGGATCTGAATTATATAAATGTTGTACAGAAAATAAACCAGAGAAGAAAAGAGGAGGAAGAAGAAGAGGAAAAGACCAAACTAAGATGTACAAAAGTATCACTTTGTTTCAAGTTGTCCCCTACACAATTGCATCTCCAAAACCAGAACCAGAATGATAACCATGTGGGTTAGCTGCTCACAGTGGCAAGGATAGTTGGGGGAGAAATTAAAATAGCGAGTTGACATTGAAACCTCCCCAAGATCAAGGATCAAGCGGCAACATAGAACTTGAGTCAGAAATTAAAAACAGATGGTAACTTCGAATAAAAATACACAAGTGAAGGATGCTCAAATAAACTGACGACAAGGTCAAACGAACTACATGTCGTAATTGATAGCTGATTTATTTATCTAGTCCATGATATATCTGTAGGATCAGCAATTCTTCAGATGAGTTTGTGCAGACTGCGAGGGATTACTTCCATTTCTTGAACTTGCCCCCACCATGCTTGCCAAATTTGCCCTTATGCTTCCCAAATTTCCCCTGCTTGAACTTGCCATGCTTGCCCCCGCCGTGTGATGAAAAGTGAGAACCGTGGCCAACATTGTGAGCACCATGACCCCCATAACCACCACCATAACCACCACCATAACCGCCAGGAATGCCAGGAGTGTGGTGAGATGATCCGTGAGTAAGATGTTGAGCACCATAAGCAGCTACAGCAGCAGCTGCACCACCAGCCAGCAATCCCCCTACGCCGTGGTGCCCTGAAGATCAAATAACACAACACAACCACTTAACAAATCACACTTGCACACGAACACATGCACAGCAGCTATAATTTTAACATTACCAAGCCATAAATATATATATAACTTGAGACTTGAGAGAACAGCTCCTCATCCTCAAGCTAAGCAAACTCCATATGAGCACATGGAAATTGATTAATTAAGATCATTCCGACATTAAAAGAACGATTCTTTGAATAAATTTGCAGCAACATATGCAGTAAGTAACACCGTGAAAACCAATTCCGGGTAAGTTGGTGCCGGATTTTCTTTTTCTTTTGCAGATGACACCATATCACGAATTAAGAAGACTTGTTCTAATCTTCTAAGAAACCAAATAAAAACTTTCGGCTTTCCTACTTGATGCATCATAATTCATAAAGGGTTTTGTCATCCAATGGTGACATCATTTTACTTTATTTTGGACGATAAATCAAAACATGAACTAGGAACAAGAGAATCTCCTAAAGAGAAAAAATTAGAATCGAAGTACAATCAGGCACAAAATTCAGCCATGATTTGAGTGAGGGATCCATTTAGTCACAATAAATTCAGGCATAATAATCTTAATTATGAAACCCTAAAATTGTAGGGTCAACGCCAACCTAACACATAGTTTTCAAGTTCATGAACATGGACAATTTGGGAATGAATGAATTTACCAGATGAGCCTTGATGGCCAGCAGGAGGATATCCAGCCGGTGGGTAGCCTTGTTGTGGCGGGTAACCCTGCTGCGGTGGATAGCCCTGTGGAGGGTATCCCTGCTGCGGCGGGTAGCCCTGTGGAGGGTAGCCCTGCTGCGGTGGGTAACCCTGCTGCGGCGGGTAGCCCTGCTGAGGTGGGTAGCCGTGTTGACCCCCATGTCCAGGTACAAGGTGACTAAAAAGCCCTCTGTCAGCTTCATCTTCCTGATGCTTATCCTTGCCACCGCCCATGTTTTGTTTGTTGTTGTTTCAGTTGAAAACTTGAGAGCAAATAATAAAGGATGCAGATATGAGGCAGTAGGAGGCGCGCCTTTTTTATAATGAAAAATATCGTTTTTATTTCCCTATATTTATGGACGCGGTTGGTCTCTCTCTCCCATTATGACTTAGTGCTCAAGAATCTATCAATTGATTGGACGCGGCGAATATCAGTTGGACGCGTCCAGGACGCTTCTTGGGCCGGCTTTATGGTCTTCACATTCATTCTTCTAGACACCCAGCAATTTAGTCAGAACACCCAGATACCAGAAACAAATACCCCTTCGCTCTTGTTCGGTTTATGTTTTTTGGGTTTCATTTCCGAATCAAGTTTCAAAAGGTTCACGAACCCATTTCTATATTTCTATTGCTATTCTTTTTTTTTTTTTGGTCTGAACCATTAAGGTGGTCCTGGATGGGCCCCAACTAATTTCTATTGATATTCTTTATAGCTGCAACAACCACCCAACAATTTAATCAGCACATCCTACGCAACCTTTTTGTTTAGGTTTGAAAATTCAAGTGATATTTTAACTATTCTAATATACAGGTAAGTAGATCGAATTCGAGTACAAAGAAACTAACCACACATGCCATGCCACCATAACCCCTTGTGTTAAAAAATAAAAAACAAAACCTGACACACTGTTAAATTAAATTAATTAGCATAATTCAACGATTAAGATATAGAATGACTCGTATCTTGTTAGCCAGTGATGTATTCCGTTCCAATTATTATCAATTAAAATTTCTATCTTTTCGAGGAAAAAAAAAAACCAAAAGTTATTTTATTATTACTGATCCAAAACTCAATTAAAGCTGAGAATACATCAAATTCTTAATCTTATTCTTAACAGATGAAACACACCACACACGTCAATATGCCAAAAGACTGTCACATATTTTTTATTTTTCACACTCGATAATACTTTTACTCGAAAGAAGCCCCTGTCTGTTTAGTCTTCTTCTTAGCCAGAAATCTCAACGGCCTTAACATCAGGCTTCTTCACCTCCTCTTTGGGCACAGTCACAGTCAGCACCCCGTTCTCCAAACTAGCCTTCACCTGCTCCACCTTCGCGTTCTCAGGCAGCCTGAACCGCCTCAGGAACTTGCCGCTGCTCCTCTCCACCCTGTGCCACTTGTCATTCTTCTCCTCCTTCTCTCTGCTCCTCTCTCCGCTGATCTGCAGCACCCTTCCTTCCTCCACCTCCACTTTCACCTCCTCCTTCTTCAGCCCCGGAAGGTCCGCCTTGAACACGTGCGCCTCCGGCGTCTCTTTCCAGTCGATCCTTGTGTTCGCCACCGCCGCCGTCTCGCTCGCCAGCTCCGACCGCGGACCTGACGAGACCGCGTTGGTACCGCCGCTGATCAACGGGAAATCCTGGAATGGATCCCAGACGTCGAGAGAGAATGGGTCGAAGACGTTAGTCCTTCGGCCGCCGAAGATGCTTGGAATCAGAGACATTGTGAATGTGTGAGTGAAAAGTGTTTGATTTGTTGGCTAATTGAACTCGTTTGAATTGCTTTGGCCAATTGCTCTTCTGTGTTGGTTCGTTGGGAGGGAATATGAGGTATTTATACCGAGAAGACGGGCATTTTCGTAATTGTGCTACTGTCCCTTCCTGATGTTTCAGGAGGATGGAGTGGAGGGAGCGAAGAGAAGTGTCTGGTGTTTTCTCTAGAGGGGGAGAGGTTTCCAGAGAGACAGAGAGAGAGAGAGAGCGCACTCGATTATGACAAGTGGCATAAGATCGACGTACGTGCAAATATAGGGGCTATTGTGACTTTTTACTTGTGGACTGTTGTGGAATAAGGGTCCAGCCCATATTCAAGAAAGAAGGAGGCTAAAGCCCAACAAACGAAAGCACCAAGAGAGAAAGAAGCCCAATAGCTATAACCACTTCCCATATAAGACTGATGACGTTGTTTTCAATTTATTATAACGAAGGAAAATTGGTAACGCAATTCCTCAACCCGTTTATACACGGGTGTTTGAATTCTTATTCTTATCCACAAGTTAAGTCGCCGAGAAAAATATCATACTTTGAATTCAAACCCTCCACTGACCAATCACAAAGGCTTATGGTGTGGGTTGCCTGTGTTGACCAGTCATATAAATCTCACAATAAAGAAAAATATATTGTCTATAAGAACTCAACAAGTAGCAAAGTATTAACAATCTCAGAATCAGAAGCCAAGCAAACACAGTCAGTGATTCTGAATTCTAATGGAGCAAAGCAGAGGCCTGAGATTGATACTTCTCCCACTGCCATTTCAAGGCCATATAAACCCCATGCTAGAACTGGGCAACCTTCTTCACTCCAAAGGCTTTTCCATAACCATCGTCCACACCAAGTTCAACTCTCTCAATCCTTCAAGCCACCCACACTTCCCCTTCCACTCAATCCCTGTCGACGTATCTGAATCTGAGGCCTCCATAAAGGAAGCTGGCCGTCTTCTTTCTCTTATAGACGCTAAATGTGTTGAGCCTTTCAGGGAATGCTTGGCTACCTTGTTATCCGATGCGGAGGACCCTGTTGCTTGCTTGATCTCAGATTCTCACCTTCACTTCACTCCATCAGTTGCAGAGAGCTTTGAGCTCCCAAGGATTCTGTTAAGGACTGGGGGCGCCGCTTCCTTGGCTGTTTTTGCTGCTTTTCCACTTTTGAAGGAAAAGGGTTACCTCCCAATACAAGGTACGAGTTCAAAGTTTCTTTCTTTCTTTCTTGGTTTTCTTTGTTCGTTGCAATTTGCCTGTATATATCAAGACAACAAAATTAATGTTTAAAATTGCTTGCACTTATAAATTCGGTTTCTGTTTTTGACATTGATTAGATTCTCGACTAGAAGAGCCAGTGACAGAGCTGTCACCATTCAAAGTTAAAGACCTGCCCAGAATGGACACTTGTGACCCTGAGCTTATTTACCAACTGATAAATGAACCTAAGGCCTCATCTGGACTCATTTTCAACACTTTCGAAGACCTTGAACAACATGCACTTGCCACACTTCGCCAAGATTCTTACCCCAATATTCCAATTTTCCCAATAGGCCCATTTCACAAGTGTGACTCTGCAGCATCCTCTTCTTCAATTGGCTTATTAACAGAAGACCAGAGTTGCATTTCATGGCTAAACACTCAAGCACCGAAATCTGTTGTGTATGTTAGCTTTGGGAGCCTTGCTGCAGTAAAAGAAGCTCAGTTTTTGGAGATAGCTTGGGGACTAGCCAACAGCAACCACCCATTCTTGTGGGTGGTTCGACCCGGATTAGTCCATGGATCAGAACCATTGCCTGATGGGTTTCTTGAGAGTTTGAATGGGAGGGGCCACATTGTGAAATGGGCTCCACAGAAACAAGTACTGGCTCATCCAGCAGTTGGAGCCTTTTGGACTCACAATGGTTGGAATTCTACATTGGAGAGTGTTTGTGAGGGGGTCCCTATGATTTGCATGCCATGTGTCAGTGATCAAATGGCCAATGCAAGATATGTGAGCCATGTTTGGAAGGTTGGGGTGCAGATAGAGCATGGGATTGAGAGAGCAGAGATTGAAAGAACCATTAATTTGTTAATGGTGGAGAAAGAAGGGGAAGAGATCAGAGACAGAGCATTGAAGTTGATGGAGAAGGCAAATCTTTGCCTCAAAGAAGGTGGCTCTTCGTCCCAATCTTTGGATGGATTGATTAAACATATTTTATCAATAAAATCCTTTGCTTTTGGAAAGCAGAGTGAGTGATCCCTTGTTTTTGAAACCCCTTCAATTAAATCATGAATTTTTATGTATGTGTCCTTGTATTTCAAAACCAGAAGCGAACAGCAAACAGATTAAAGAGAGGTAGTGATGGATGAAGCATTTGATTGTGGAACTTTTATTACCTCTGTATGCACATGGAAACATACATCACACGCAAGAGCAGATCAAAGACACAAAGGGTTTCAACTTGAGAGACAGAACTTGATCAACTTGCAGCTAGAAGGATCAATAATGATCCAAAACGGCATTTCCCTCCAAAACAACTACCTACGCATTTCTACGGTTTCCAATTGAAGCATGCAAGGAAAAACCAGATCAGTTTGCAAACAGAAATCCGGGACTACTTCAACATGAAAGGAAAAACCATATCATTTTGCAAACACATCGTTTAGTACATGAGTTATAGGTAACAATTTTTATTTTTGTTCACCCTATGGCATAGGTATATTACATACTCTTGTAGATATATATATATTTTTCATACTCTTGTAGAAATCTTATGGTGTAGGTATTTTGTTCTATTGCCTATTGCATATATGTATTTTTTTTTTTCATATTTTCGAAAGTGTATAATAGTATTTTATGTACATTTTTTTTATAGGTAACTTACAATTTTTATTTGTCTATTTTTGTATCTAACTTATAGGTAGTCTTCTAATTTATGGTCATAACTTATATTCAGTCTTTTAATTTAGGTTCCTACGGCCATCTCCAACCCAAGGACTTAAACCCAAAATATCCCCCAAAACCTCTCCCAACCCAACAAAATGAAGGACCCAAAATTTGGGAAAACCCAAATTTGGACCCAAATACCAGTCCACTTATTGCCTGGACCCAAATCTGTTGTGGAGCCCACCTGCATCTCAAACCCACCCAATGTGCAAAGATTCTAACGTGGGCCCCACCTCCAAATTTGCAGCTGCCTTTTGTCTTCTCTTTTTTTTTGTGGTGAAAACCAAGGTATCCCCCGCGCGATTGCGGGGACTAACCCTCGAGGTACTGTCGGCCGCAAAGCAGGGACCTCTCCCAACAAAGTCTGCTCTATTCGCAAGCGCCTGGGATCGAACCCAGGACCTCTTGTTTAAAGGATCCAAGCCCCTTCCACTTGGACCAACTCTTGTTGGTCTTTTGTCTTCTCTTTGCACCACTTGAATAATGTTGTTTTTTATTATTATTTTTATTTTATATGTATATATAACTTAAATCAACGATGGGGATTAAATCTATGCTATTTTAACGGTAAAAAAAAAGATCCAACGGTTGAAATTTAAATCCAACGGTCAAAATAATATTTTAAATTAATCTAGATCAGATCCAACCCCAAAACTCACTCCAAACTCTATAAATACCCATCCATTTCTCAAATAATCTTTTTTAGGTCAAATTGTTCAAAAAATTAAATTATGACGTTATTTAAAAAGATTAATGAAGAAAATTTTTCCATTAAAAAAAAAAAATTGCGCCACTTGTCGCTGCCCTATGGAGTTACTGTTGGAATCCAACGGCAACCTTTGAATTAAGTTGCTGTTTGCTTTTTTTTTTGTTTTTTTGTGTATGTACATATAGCTTAAATTAACGATGGGGATTAAATCTAAGTTATTTTAACAGTAAAAAAAAAAAATCCAACAGTCAAAGTAATATTTTAAATTAATCTAGATCAGATCCAACCCCAAAACTCACTCCAAACTCTATAAATACCCATCCATTTCTCAAATAATCTACCAAAAACGCTTGTCTGATCAATTGGTATAATATGTGGGTCTTTACTTTTCATTGATTAAATTGTATTTTATCCATATATTAGGTAAATATTATCAAAGAAAGAATACAAAATTTAAATTAAGAAATTCAATTACAAAGAAATAATGCATTAAATTTAGATTTTAAATGTGTTTTCCTTATTTACCTCAAAGGGTAAAATCGTCACAATAAAATAGGAATACTACGACCTCTTATATCCTACTGGTCATTTAAATTTGAAATTGGGTTTTACACATAGATTTATAGAGTGATGGGTATATGTATAGGAAATAGAAAATGTAGGGATCTATATTGAACAAGCCCTTTAATTTATTATAACGAAAGAGAATTGATAACGCAATTCCTCAACCAGCTTCAAGCCGGTGGACTAAGCCAACTTCTATTCTTCCACCTCGGTGACTTAGGTGTTAGCAAACATTGCCATCTGTGGGTGACTAATTAAATAATGTTACATACAGTGATTGTATGTTTATACACGGGTGTTCACTGTATGTTCATACACGGGTGTTGCTATATATATTCCAGTGCTCTGCTAATTCTCTCATTTTAGTCTTCTTATTCTTACCTGCAAGTTAAGTCGTGAGGTCGGTGCCCGAGAAAAAGATCATACTTTGAATTCAAACCCTCCACTGACCAATCACAAAGGCTTATGGTGTGGGTTGCCTGTGTTGACCAGTCATATAAATCTCACAATAAAGAAAAATATATTGTCTATAAGAACTCAACAAGTAGCAAAGTATTAACAATCTCAGAATCAGAAGCCAAGCAAACACAGTCAGTGATTCTGAATTCTAATGGAGCAAAGCAGAGGCCTGAGATTGATACTTCTCCCACTGCCATTTCAAGGCCATATAAACCCCATGCTAGAACTGGGCAACCTTCTTCACTCCAAAGGCTTTTCCATAACCATCGTCCACACCAAGTTCAACTCTCTCAACCCTTCAAGCCACCCACACTTCACCTTCCACTCAATCCCTGTCGACTTATCTGAATCTGAGGCCTCCAAAAAGGATGCTGGCCGTCTTCTTTCTATTATAAACGCTAAATGTGTTGAGCCTTTCAGGGAATGCTTGGCTACCTTGTTATCCGATGCAGAGGAGGACCCTGTTGCTTGCTTGATCTCAGACCCTCTCCTTCACTTCACTCGATCAGTTGCAGAGAGCCTTGAGCTCCCAAGGATTCTGTTAAGGACTGGGGGCGCCGCTTCCTTTGCTGTTTATGCTGCTTTTCCACTTTTGAAGGAAAAGGGTTACCTCCCAATACAAGGTACAAGTTCAAAGTTTCTTTCTTTCTTTCTTGGTTTTCTTTGTTCATTGCAATTTGCCTGTATATATCAAGACGACAAAATTAATGTTTAAAATTGCTTGCACTTATAAATTCGGTTTCTATTTTTGACACTGATTAGATTCTCGACTACAAGAGCCAGTGACAGAGCTGTCACCTTTCAAAGTTAAAGACCTGCCCAGAATGGACACTTGTGACCCTGAGATTTTTTACCAACTGATAACCAACATGGCAAATGAACCTAAGGCCTCATCTGGACTCATTTTCAACACTTTCGAAGACCTCGAACAACATGCACTTGCCACACTTAGCCAAGATTCTTACCCCAATATTCCAATTTTCCCAATAGGCCCATTTCACAAGTGTGACTTTGCAGCATCCTCTTCTTCAACTGGCTTATTAACAGAAGACCAGAGTTGCATTTCATGGCTAAACACTCAAGCACCGAAATCTGTTGTGTATGTTAGCTTTGGGAGCCTTGCTGCAGTAAAAGAAGCTCAGTTTTTGGAGATAGCTTGGGGACTAGCCAACAGCAACCACCCATTCTTGTGGGTGGTTCGACCCGGATTAGTCCATGGATCAGAACCATTGCCTGATGGGTTTCTTGAGAGTTTGAATGGGAGGGGCCACATTGTGAAATGGGCTCCACAGAAACAAGTACTGGCTCATCCAGCAGTTGGAGCCTTTTGGACTCACAATGGTTGGAATTCTACATTGGAGAGTGTTTGTGAGGGGGTCCCTATGATTTGCATGCCATGTTTCAGTGATCAAATGGCCAATGCAAGATATGTGAGCCATGTTTGGAAGATTGGGGTGCAGATAGAGAATGCCATTGAGAGAGCTGAGATTGAAAGAACCATTAATTTGTTAATGGTGGAGAAAGAAGGGGTAGAGATCAGAGACAGAGCATTGAAGCTAATGGAGAAGGCAAATCTTTGCCTCAAAGAAGGTGGCTCTTCATACCAATCTTTGGATAGATTGGTTAAACATATTTTATCAATAAAATCCTTTGCTTTTGAAAAGCAGAGTGAGTGATTCCTTGTTTTTCAAACCCCTACAATTAAATCATGAATTTGTTTGTATGTGTCCTTGTATTACAAAACCAGAAACGAACAGCAAACAGATTGAAAGTGAGACTCTGTTTCCCTTTTCCTTTATTATGGAAATGTAGTTTTGCTGCCTTGCGTTTTAATAAATGATGGTCCATCTTTTGTATCATAAAATGTTGTTGGGTTGTACCTGAAAATGTCGGTGGGGAGGGCGTACGGACCTAGCAAATGCATGGGCTCTATATATACAAACACAAGACACGACAAGTCAAGCAAACAAGTTGCAGTCATGGAACAAAGAAAGGACAGGAGATTGATACTTTTTCCACTGCCCTTGCAAGGCCACATAAGCCCCATGCTTGAGCTGGCCAATCTTCTGCACCTGAAAGGCTTTTCCATAACCATCATCCACACAACCTTCAACTCTCTCAACCCATCAACCCATCCACACTTCACCTTCCACTCAATCCCTGATGGCTTATCTGAAAGTGAAGCCTCCACAAAGGATCTTGTCCTCCTTCTCTCCCTTCTAAATGCTAAATGTGTTGAGCCTTTGAGGGAGTGCTTGTCTAGCTTGTTGTCTGATGTTTCAGAGGAGCCTGTTGCTTGCTTGATCTCTGATGTTCTCCATGTCTTCACTGAATCTGTTGCTCACAGCCTTAAACTCCCAAGGCTTGTGCTAAGAACCGGAGGCGCTGCTTCCTTTGCTGTTTTTGCTGCATTTCCACTTCTGAGGGAGAAAGGTTACCTCCCCATACAAGGTTTGGTTTTCCTTCTTTCTTGGTAATTGGTAGGTATTAGATTTAGATTAGGAAAATTTGGTACCACATAATTGCTATTACCTAATGTTGAGCTCATCTAAATCATTGACAACTAATATTTGCCTTCCTTTCTATTTTGGCATTAGAGTCTCGACTAGAAGAGCCGGTGACAGAGTTTCCACCTCTCAAAATCAAAGACCTTCCTTTGATCAACAGGTGTGCCTCAGAGGATTATAATCAGCTAGTAGCCGGCCTGTCAAATGGAGCCAAAGCCTCATGCGGGCTCATCTTTAATACTTTTGAACACCTTGAACAACATGCACTGGCCACAATAAGCCAAAAGATTTCCAATGTTCCAATTTTCCCAATAGGTCCATTTCACAAGTTTTTCCCTGCAGCCTCTTCTTCTTCTAGTGGCTTATTATCAGAAGACCAGAGTTGCATTCCATGGCTAAACACTCAAGCACCAAAGTCTGTTGTGTATGTTAGCTTTGGGAGCCTTGCTGCAATAAAGGAAGCTCAGTTTTTGGAGATAGCTTGGGGGCTAGCCAACAGCAACCAGCCCTTTTTGTGGGTGGTTCGACCTGGATTAGTCCATGGATCAGAACCATTTCCCAGTGGGTTTGTTGAGAGTTTAAATGGGAGGGGTCACATTGTGCAATGG